ATATAAAACAGTAAAAATGCTGTGTCACCCTAATTTTCATCTTGTCTCTGCTGTTTTTTGATTAAATTACTATTTTTTTTAGAAATGTGACATTTGTATTTATTCTTCCAGTCAGGTCTTCAAATGCAGTCAAAAAGCCTCACAGTATAAAATGACTGATATCAGCATATTCAGTCTCTTTAGCTTAATTTATATTCAGTCAGCAATCCAAACCCAAACATTTGTAGCCACACATGCRAAATGAAGCTGGTGATTGCACAAAGTCATTTACTATATTTTAATCGAATTGCTAAGATATYACTGTCGTTGCAGCTTTTCTTCACTTCTCCTTCACCGCATTGTTCAGCATCCCGAAGACACTGTTGCTATAGAAACCCAGGGAGTACAGTAATTTTATTTAATGTGATGATCTAGCAGAGGCAGCTAAACTCTGAGCCAAGGTCTCTACTGAGACTGCTCTGTTTTAAGAGGCTGAGTTCATGTCTAGGTGGGTGGGATGACATGGCGATGTACTGTGTGAGCTGAGATTTCAGTTCATGAAAGTTTGCTTCTTTGGTTAGTTTTGGAGTTTTAGGAGATGTGGTAAAATCTGTACTTCCAAAAGTACAAATTTACCAATTGCTTATAGCAAAAGAGCTGCAGCTAGTTTGTTACTGAGAAGATAAATTACATCACAGATGCTAAAGGGGCAATATCATGTAAAATCAACTTTTTTGAGTTTTATGTCATGTTATAATGTTATACTCTCGTAAAAAAAAACATGTCCAAAGCCTTGCTCTGACTCATTCATGCATGTTTGAGAAATCCTGCAGTGTTTTTAGGAAGCCATGCTGAGGAGCAAAACGACAGGTGGGGACCAGAGACGCCTTTTGGTACCAGAAACACCCCTGGGACGTGTCTTTAAGCCGAGCTTCCTCATCACGGAGCACACCTCCCCACTCCCCCAGCCCCCGCCCATGACTCCTGCAGGCTCTCGGCAGTAACAAAGCAAACAACGAGTGAAACTGAAAGAGAAACTGAAATTTACTGCTGCTCTCAACATTAGTTCTCACTCAGTGAAGCTCTTTTCAGATTCAAAATACCTTTGAGGAAATGTATTTTCAGAGGTCAAGTAAACTGCATCATAGCGCATACGCACGACACCCACCACCCCCACCCACACACACACACACTGAAACTTACGAGAAGGAAGAAGAAGGAGGTTCTTAAAGAGACAGAGGCCAATTTCAAGGCGTTTAGAAGAGGAAGTGATGAGAAGATAAGTTTATTTTCTATTTAAACATAAAAACAGCATTTTAATAACAACTAAAGGTGACATAGATACTTTATTATGGTATAGTATTTAAATGTATGCCTGAGAAACACAACATTGCCCCTTTAAAACAGAAGCAAAAACACACGTCTAATCCTGGAATTGCAGCTGCAAAGAGCAACAGTTAACTATGTTGCTTCCTTGTACCAATAATTACGGCCTTTAGAGACAATAAAATTGCCTTACTCTGCATTACAGTGCAATTCTGCATTCCTTATCCCTGAATGAGCTCGACAGAAAACCTAACAATATGCAAAGTGCAGGAAGATAAACGATAATTACAACTGTACTGATGTATTTTCAGTTACACATCTGGCAGTAGTTTATTTTTTGATTTTTTATTTATTTATTTATTCATTTTACATTGATTGTGCCCAAATGTATTCGAACTAAACAACATGCATTTTGGAAAACAAATGCATTCCTGAACAGTTTATATCTCAATTTATTTGCAGTGATTGACATGTGCAGTAGTGTCATGCATTATGCACAACAAAGAAATCATCTTCTTTCATTTGGAAATGTTCTAAAGCACAGCTTTTCTCCTCAAGGCCATCTAAAGATAAGCTCTACTGAATAAGCATAAATCTGCTTTGCTCTGTTTTATTCCTACGGAGAAAGAAAAAAGAAATCCACCAAGTGCTTTACAGGAATTTAGCAAACTGGAAAAGCATGCATTATTCACAGACTTTTAACCACATTGTTTCAGAATTATCTGGAAACATTCTACTTAAATGTGTGTGTGTGTGAGAGGGGTGCAATGTTCATTGTTTACAAAACTTGCTTATTGCAAACCAGATAAGATAAGATAAGTGAGCCACCAGCTTTGTCAAGTCATTTGTAATGGGCTCCAGATTCTCTATTATCAACAGATTTGCTTAAGCTGCAATATTATTGTACGACTATGCCTCTACATTCTGTAAGCGGCACATTCATGTTAAGAATGAGATGGCTGACAAAGCATTAACATATTAAAATACTTTCTTGACATTCAGGGAGAGATGTCATAGTGATGTGTTTATTRCAGTGTCTATCGATGTATCTCAAACCCAAAAATAAATGTTACTAAAGTATTTGCGTTTTCTGCAAAAATGCAGCATGAATGCGTAATGATGTTTTTTTTCCCAGAAAAAAAGTGATTTGTTCTAAAATAGCAAAAAAATAAAAAAAAATGCTGAAAATAGCATAAAGGTGGCTGAAAAAGCTAATATTAAGAAGGAGCATCTGTTTGCTGATTTAAGCAGCAAGAAGATGAAATTTCCACGAAAAGGTGAATTTTGCTGGAAAAAGCTCACATTTGCTAAAATTGCAGAAAACAGCTGACGTTAGGAAAAAAATTCTGTGAAAACGTAAAATTATCAAAGAAAGAAGTTGGTAGAAGTATGAAAATGTATACATAAATTAGAAGATAATAGCTGAATAGGTGAAAGAAGAGGTTAAAAACACAAAAAAGACTAAAATTAGCAAAAAAAGAAGAAGCTGAAGGGAGTTTAAATTAAAACTGAATAAAAACAAAATGTGTGCAGTAAAGAGTAATAACTAATTTGAATGAATTTCAGAATGTTAAAGACAGCTTCATCCTCTTTCAATGAGAAGAAAAGGCAGAAAAAACTAAATATCTTGAAAATTACTAACTGTAGGTGTACGAGTTGAACATTTTGATATATAAATTGTTGAAAATTTGTGGAACAAGGTCAGCGCTAAAAGAAAAATTGGATCAAGTAGTGTCGATTGATAAGCATTCAAATAATAAATGTAAAAGTACACAGATAAGCCACAATATTACAACCAACCACCAAGTAATGAGTTTCTATTTCCCCACCTAAACACATTTAGCAAGAAGCATGAGCAGAAAAACAGCAGGAGGTGTTCTGGGTTATTTGTTTCCAGGATGTCAACAAAATAAACTCTGTGGGTTTGGCTTGCTTCCCACATTTACCATGAAACCCCATCAAACTGGTATCTGGGGAATTTGAAGGRTGTTTGGAAAACTTCAGCCCTTTTGTCAAGTTTTTTGAGATGCCCTAAAGCTTTTATTTATGTATTTATTCATTTGTCTTTGGTGAAGCCCATGTTGTCCTGCTGAGAGTGGAGTACTGTAAGAAAGTGCTGATTTTTGGTTTTAGGTAAGGAGTAAGTGTCAAAGTAGCCTCTATATGAATGACAATATGAATTTTTATGTTGCAGAATGATGAGGGTTACTTATTTTACCTGCAGCTTTAATTGGAATTTCTCAAATGGCGAGCCCTTTGACAGTCTTCCTCTTTCCTCTCCTTTCKCTTACAAGAACAAAGATGCTGCAGCATCTGTCAAGTAGAGTCCAGTGGTTGAAACAGRGTTTGGCCAAGGCGAGCCGTTATGYRCTGYTGTRAAGGAGRTCATTGTGTGACTGACAGYTCAGGAAYCAAGTTGTAAAAARGACATTTGAAGACACACCAGTWCGTTTGCAAGACTGTGCTTTTGTTTGTTTGYTTYATCTACTGTTTTCTCTTTCATATTTAGCTGAGGGTACATGACAAAGCCTGCCAGAGGAGAAGTAATGCTTCAGAAAACACCCGTCCAAGGAGCTGAAATGTTTCTAGTTCCTGGTTGTTTGCTTGTTGCTGAAAAAAAAAATGAAATGTCACAAGAAAGAGAACTATTTATTCTAGGATTTTAGGGAAAAAATGTTATCAGCACATTGCACAGTTTTAATACACTCCAACATTTTTTTCTTTGTGTAACATTTAAACTAAGTTTTGCAGATGCAAGGACAGAAATAAAAACATGCTTTCATAAAAAAACATATTTACATTCAGAATTAAATTTATGTTTTTTGTTATTTTGTCAACATAAATTATACAGAATTTGACTAAAGTGTCTGAAATACATGTTTCAATATTTGTTTTGATCAATAAACAAATTAAAGTGGCTAAATAAGAAGCCCCGTACAGATTTGAAAATGCTGTTTTTAGGACTCTTTGCAGACCATATTCACTTCCAAGACCTTTAACTCCTCTTTTCATTCAATTTGATGTATGATTTACAGGATCCATTTAGGGTAAATCAGATTAGAACTGTATTTAATTTTTTTTATTTGTACAAATGTCAAGTATTAACAATAAAATGTTTGCTGCATGAAGTTACTTACAATGGTAATTAATCTGAATRTCTGCACATTTGATTTTGCTTCTCTGCTTTTCATCTTGACATGTTTTTCAAATTTTAAATGAGAATTTAAAGAAACCCAGCTATTTAGGTCACACCTGATAGTCAGGTAGACTCAATTCAATTGGTGACTAAAATTGAAAGGTTTGTTTACATTTTCAATTGGTGCGGTTGCAGCAGTTCATATTCATACTGCACTCTTGTCAACTGAACTAAACCCTGTGAACAACCTGTTCCACCCCTGGCCTGTGGTGGCGCTGCACCAAGAAGGAATCAACACAAAAAACCTCAAAGAAGACATGGAGCGCTACCTCCTTGTTTTTGGCAAATGTGCCTAACAAATAGTCTTCAGCAATGAGCTCATCATGAGCGGAAGATGAGGCGGAACCACGGAGAATGTTGTTTTTCACATAAGGCAGATGAGACGGCTCCGAGTGAGGCGGCATTCACAGAGAAGGAGCGCATCCAACTTATATAGACATTAAGCAAGGCATTTACAGTACATGATGTGAGTAAATATATTAATATTAATACTCAGAATGTCCTGCGTTATGGTCCACTTCCTGCTTTTGGAGTGGTCTACGGTCCGCTTGGTGTTCATATGTGCAATCGAACTGCACCAGAGTTCACTTCAACCGAACCAAGACCTAGGTTTGGAGGTAGACCATAGTTTGCTTTTTTGGATGGCATCAGAGTTCGATTACACGTTCACACCTCCCCAAAAGAACCAGACTTTCTAGGCGAATGAACTAGAGTCTGATTAAAGCAGACTAAAGAGGGCTGGTGTGAATACACCCTTAACCTCTGAAACCTGCTCAACATGTCGACCATTCATCCTCATGTTTAAAGCCAAATCAGTGCCATTTTTCCAAGTTCAGAGAAAAACAAACAGTTGTTGTTTTTTCTAACATTCAAGGAAAGACAAGACTTGTCAAACTGTGATGGATGAGTATGTATTTGTAATGCTCAGTATTGAGAACACCAGCAATCTCAGCCAAATCCCCAATGTTATTTGTAGAAATGCAGTACATCCCCACACCTTGTAAGGAGCTTCCACCATGTTTCTCCACAGACTGCAGACACTCTTTGTTATAAAACCCTTCAGCCTTTTGGTCAACAAACTGCCTTCACCTTCAGCCAAAAGGCTCTTATTTTACCTCATCAGTCCAGAACACCTGCTTTCATGTTTCTGTGCCCCAGATTTTTTTTKWKWTTTTTTTTTTTAGTTTTTATGCATGTTTGAGTCACTCAGCCTCGTTTCCACAGTAGAGGTTTATTTTTTTCAATTTATCTTTTTCCTCAAAGACCACTTCTGGCCAGTTTCTGGACAGTAGTRGAGCTGGGTCCCACATGTTTTTGGCCAGTTCTGAGCCAACGGCACTGCTGGAAACCTTTCAGTTTTAGAGGGAAGTAAGCATGATGTGCCTTTTATCTGTTGCACTGTTGCAATTTTCTTTGGCTCGCCACCGTCTGTGCGGTTTTCCCTGTTGTTTGTTTCTTGTGCTTCTTCAAAAGAGCTTGGAGAAACCTTGGTGCGCTTTTAAATCTTTGCCTGGGAGAGACCATGCTGATGCAATACACCTCATGTCATGTTGCTGTGCTCAGCTTTGCCACGTTTGTTTTACCTCGAACATGAAACTGTCTCTTACCTCACCATGGTAACACATTTTGGCTGTTATTTACTTAGTCTGAAACCTCACAGCTGTTTCTGTTAATGACTGTGCTTCAGCCTGTATATGTAAATAATCTTCGTTGGCAACTGTTTGGTGTAACTGGTTAGTCATACACCTGACTATGATCCTGCAAAATTTAAGTACAAGTGTGCAATGTTTTAAAAACAAAGTTTGGTCATATCTAATCCTTCATTGTCCTGCAAACCTTTGCTAATTAATTTAAATAACAATTAAAGATTATTATTATGTATCCGTTTTTAGTTTAAATCATTTCAACCTAAAACCTTTTGACATTACTGTATGTGCAAACTGCCTGTGTTGATCCAATTTATTGGCTAATAGCCTAAGAAAAGACTCATGGGTTGATGTCATTGCCATTATTTTAAAAGGGTCAGATATGGTCACTTAACAGAAGTCCCTGTTCTCTTGCGATGACTCGTGTCTTTGCTCTGSTTTATCACTTCATGCAGGACATACTCTGAGGTGCTGTGCACAGCCAGRCACATACCATGGTGATGTCAGCTGCGTGGTGCAGATAGAAGTATTAGCTAAGGTGCCCTCGAATGCTGAAGCTGGGAGAACTGGTTTAAATATTCACCAAATGTGATGCAAGAAATTCCACAAAAACTAGGCAAAAATTAGGCCAGGGATGGAAAACTGGCAACCCGCGGGTCATATGCCGTCTGTCCAGCCCGTCTATGAGGCCCGGCCTGAAGCTTAGAATCTAAGAGCTGTTTAAAGAATTTCAAGGCAACATGTTCAGTCAGCTTAAAGGCGTTGTCTGCCATGAAGGATTTTAATACAGTATAAATCATCACTACATGTTGCACAAAGCTAAATATGTGAAGTTTATTGAAGCTGCAAGCACATAAACAACAGTGACTTTTTACAAGAACCACAAACATGCAGAAATTTGCACTCAATGCGTCTTATGCCGTTGCTATTCAGCTCATGTTTATTTTTTGTTTGCTTCAAATTTTCTGTTTTCATATTTATTAAACAAGAGTATATATACAGTATGTGTATATATATATGTATGTGTATAGATAGATATAGATATATGCTCACCGGCCACTTTATTAGGTACACCTGTCCAACTGCTCGTTAACACTTAATTTCTAATCAGCCAATCACATGGCGGSAACTCAGTGCATTTAGGCATGTAGACATGGTCAAGACAATCTCCTGCAGTTCAAATCGAGCATCAGTATGGGGAAGAAAGGTGATTTGAGTGCCTTTGAACGTGGCATGGTTGTTGGTGCCAGAAGGGCTGGTCTGAGTATTTCAGAAACTGCTGATCTACTGGGATTTTCACGCACAACCATCTCTAGGGTTTACAGAGAATGGTCCGAAAAAGAAAAAACATCCAGTGAGCGGCAGTCCTGTGGGCAGAAATGCCTTGTTGATGCCAGAGGTCAGAGGAGAATGGGCAGACTGGTTCGAGCTGATAGAAAGGCAACAGTGACTCAAATAACCACCCGTTACAACCAAGGTAGGCAGAAGAGCATCTCTGAACGTACAGTACGTCGAACTTTGAGGCAGATGGGCTTCAGCAGCAGGAGACCACACCGGGTGCCACTCCTTTCAGCTAAGAACAGGAAACTGAGGCTACAATTTGCACAAGCTCATCGAAATTGGACAAGAGAAGATTGGAAAAACGTTGCCTGGTCTGATGAGTCTCGATTTCTGCTGCGACATTCGGATGGTAGRGTCAGAATTTGGCGTCAACAACATGAAAGCATGGATCCATCCTGCCTTGTATCAACGGTTCAGGCTGGTGGTGGTGGTGTCATGGTGTGGGGAATCTTTTCTTGGCACTCTTTGGGCCCCTTGGTACCAATTGAGCATCGTTGCAATGCCACAGCCTACCTGAGTATTGTTGCTGACCATGTCCATCCCTTTATGACCACAATGTACCCAACATCTGATGGCTACTTTCAGCAGGATAATGCGCCATGTCATAAAGCTGGAATCATCTCAGACTGGTTTCTTGAACATGACAATGAGTTCACTGTACTCAAATGGCCTCCACAGTCACCAGATCTCAATCCAATAGAGCATCTTTGGGATGTGGTGGAACAGGAGATTCGCATCGTGGATGTGCAGCTGACATATCTGCGGCAACTGTGTGATGCCATCGTGTCAATATGGTCCTAAATCTCTGAGGAATGCTTCCAGCACCTTGTTGAATCTATGCCACGAAGAATTGAGGCAGTTCTGAAGACAAAAGGGGGTCCAACCCGTTACTAGCGTGGTGTACCTAATAAAGTGGCCGGTGAGTGTATGTATGTATGCACACCAACACTGGTTGGCTTTTTAAAGAGGCAATATCATGTAAAATCAACTTTTTAAAGTTTTATATCATGTTATAATGTTATACTCTCATAAAAAAACATGCCCAAAGCCTTGCTCTGACTCATTCATGCATGTTTGAGAAATCCTGCAGTTTTTATGAAGCCATGCTGAGGAGCAAAACGACAGGTGGGGACCAGAAACGCAGCTGGGACGTGTCTTTAAGCCGAACTTCCTCATGGCAGGGCGCCCCCCTCCCCTCCTCCCCACACACCCTGCCCATTACTCCTGCGGGTTTTCGGGTGAAAGTGAAAGTGAAACTGAAACTATCTGCTGAGCTCCACTACTTCTCACTCAGTGAAGCTCTTTTCAGATTAAAAATACCTTTGAGGAAATGTATTTTCAGATGCCAAGTAAACTGCATCATAGCACGCCCCCTCCCCCTCATTCCCCCCTCCTCTCGCACTGAAATGGGCWGGACTGATGTGGAAGGTGGTTCTTAAAGAGACAGAGGTCAATTTCAAGGTGTTCAGAAGAGGAAGTGTTGAGAAGATAAGTTCATTTTCTATTTAAGCATAAAAACAGCATTTTAATAACAGCTAAAGGTGACATAGATTATTATGGTATAGTATTTAAATGTATGCCTGAGAAACACATAAAATTGCCCCTTTAAAACCCAYAAACATTTTTAAAATGGCAGTTTTAGTGCAGCGCTATGTGGCCCTCTGGTAGTGTCGACAAAAAAATGTTCCATCATTTAAGTCACCCATCCCTGAATTAGGTGGTTATCCAGGGGGAAAAAAAAGAACTAAATGACTGACTTCAGAGCAGCGGTGGATCTGCAGGGCTGATGACAGAACCTGCAAAGAAACAGAAGGGAGGAAGTGCACTTCAGCTCCACTTAAGATCTGAGTGTTGTGCTGAGGTGTGGCAYTTTAGAATAGAACTGCTCCAAAAGCATTTCAAGGACCACTGATCAGAAATATATTATTTGTTTATTTGACAAACTGCCTTGTTTTCTTAGTCATTGCTCTTCTGCATTATTGTAGTTTTTTTCAAGATCACTCAACCACCTTTCCTTCTCTGTCTCCCCTCAGCTGTTTGAACGAGACACAAGTGGTCACCTCTGAATGTTGAATTCACAAACCGTGACAATAACTCTTATGGTACAAGTTTCTACTGTAAGTAAACAAAACACATTTAATATATCATACAAGAAATTGACCATGAAAAAGCTTTTGAACACAGGATAGTGTATTATTACTGAACTGAAAATGTGTACTTAGCTGGTGCTAGTCATGGCGCTCTCATTCAGCACTGATGCCAACTGCAGAGATGTTTGAGCTTCAAATAGTTTTTACTCAAACACAAGTTCAAAACAAAGTTCAAAATCATGTTTTCTTTTTATTCAAGGTTGTAAGTAAAAAAAACTCTTTATAAGTGAAACGCTACTCTTCCCAAAAATAGCTAGAAAAAAAGGTTTTGTTGCAATTAAATTTTGTTATGTTTGAAGATATTTAAAGTACAAAAAAGTCAGTGACAGATTTTTTTTAACTCTGGACCTTTAATGTAAAAAAATCAATTAAATCACATCCCTTTGATCAGTACGCAGTACACATGTCTGAATACTGTGTTTACGTTTTTAAAATACTGATCTGATGGCATTAAAAACATTAAATATGAAGATAAAACTTAATTAGGGTATTAACATTCATTTCTCTAATTTTAACGACTTTCTCAGCCATACTCAATACTAAATTTAGAAGTGAAGATTTCCCAACAATTTAAAATATGTGTGTGTGTGTGTGTGTGTGTGTGTGTGTGTGTGTGTGTGTGTGTGTGTGTGTGTGTGT